CTAATGTTTGGTAAAATTGTAACTGATATTGATAGCAACTAAACTGTAAAAAAATGGTCATGATCGGCGCGGGAGCAGATCGCCCCTCCTTATCCAGCTACGGCTTTTAGTCCACACACTTGTAGCGATTGTAGCGACCCGAATGAATCATTGAAACCTTGACGGGCATGTGAACAACAACTCACCAAAGTTTTATCGCAATCGGATGAATGGTTTACGAACGCATACGGGACAAACAAATAAACATTCATTTTTATATATATAGATTACGATAAACTTTATTGTACGATATACAGTACCTGCAATTCAGTACGTGTAGTAATGTTCAGTACACCTATGGAGTTCAAACGCTTTCTTTTATACCGATAACGATAGATAACAATAATAGAGCTATTAATACGTTTAAAACTAGAAGAATTTTTTAAAATTTTGTTTTGCACTGTGAATGCCATTCAACAGCCGCAGTTGTATTCATTTTGTCGTATCGCTGTAGTTTCGGTATCATTGTACAGTATCAGTGAATAGATATACATTTATTTAAAAAATATTCATATATTGTGCACTAAATCATTAATAATTACGTATTAACGCGTCTAATTACACGGAATTAATTGATTTCGTTGCATTCGTATTTCACAGAAACGCAATTATTTAAAAAAACCATATATCATCAAATACTTGTAATGCATTATTAATACATATAGTGCTTATATAAAATTTTATATAATATTTGTGCACATTATTATTTTTATATACTTTTACTTTTACGTGTGACTTATTATTAGTTTCTAAATTAGTACATTCCTAGAAAAAAGTGCAAAGTAGAAGCAAAAATTAGATCATATTTATCGGTGTTTGTTATATTAAATATAAATTATGAAGATCAATTATACGCAATTGTTTATAAAAGCACATTATTTCTGTTATGGTGCAAGTAAGTAAATCATGGAACACATTATGTAGATGTACATGAATAATATGATATACATATATATATGTATATATATATATATATATATATCTATATCATTCTTTTATGTTTAAATATTTTATATGTTTTACATCTAACGTTTTATATCACATTTTATTATAAAAAAGTTTAGATGTAATTTTAAAATTTACATGTATTTCTTTAGTAATATACTTACATATATGTTATATTATAAGTAAACAAAACATATATATATATATATATATATGTATGTATATATATATATATACAGGGTGTCCCAAAAACATCGAGACACCTATAAATATCTCGGGAAATATAAGTTTTACAGAAAAGTGTTTTAGACAAAAGTTATATGGTTTAAAAATATCTGTTTACTGATTCTATCAGTTTGACTTTGGGTTGCGTAGCCAAGGTCAGGTCAAGGTTACATTGATTTTCTTAAATGGAACACCCTATTTTTGATTCAAGAATCTAAGCTGATGTCGAGAGCTTTCCAAAACGCTATAATGAAATATTTTTTCATAAAGTACTTTTCAAATTATAAGGCTTCAAAGTTACAGTATTGCCGGCACTAGCATTACCCAAAATATTTAATTTTGGAGACTGGCCAGTCAAAGCGAGATCGGTCGGTGGTCCGTGAATCTTGACCTTCAGTTAACGCACAAACAAAGACATAACGTAGTATACCGCGTGGTATTACATAACTTGGGTAATGCTAGTGCCGGCAATACTGTAATTTTGAAGCATTATAACTTGAAAAGTACTTCATGAAAAAATATTTCATTATAGAGTTTTGGAAAGCTCTCGACATCAGCTATTAGATTCTTGAATCAAAAATAGGGTGTTTCATTTAAGAAAATCAATGTAATCTTGATCTGACCTTGGCTACGCAACCCAAGGTCAAAATGATAGGATCAGTAAACAGATATTTTTAAACCATATAACTTTTGTCTGAAACACTTTTCTGTAAAACTTATATTTCCCGAGATATTTAGGTGTCCCGACCTTTTTGGGACACCCTGTATATATGTATATATAACATAATTGGATAAAAGTATTTAAAAAACTAAATAATCATTACATTATATTTAATATTTTATAAACAATTTTTAAACTAGCGTTATAAAATATGTTTTTTGTTAATGTTATACTTTATAAAAAAGATATAGACAAAATTAAAAAATGAATTATAATAAACTCAAAAGTATTAAAAATAAGTTATTTCTTAATCTAGTGAAGTATATTGCACATGTAAGCGTAATAATATTCTTATTTTAGTTGTAGGTTCTATTTTCCCGTTTTTACCTGTTTACGGTAAACAACTTGGTATTTCTCCATTAATAATGGGTAGCATCTTTTCCATTCTTCCAATTTTATACATGATCACTAAACCAATAGTTGGTTTTATTATGGATTATTTTCACACCAAGAAGAAATTAATCTTTATAACTATACTCGTCGTTTCAAGTAGTTCCTATATTTTGATATATTTTTTACCTTCCGTTTCATTACCGAAACGAATGGTTCCAAATCATCATCTTCAAAACATTTCTTGTGCTTCTTTATCATTTTGTAACATAGACTCTGTAAGTATTTATTTTCTTACAATTGCGTGTTTTTTTCCTTAAAACGTTAACTATATTTCTGTAATTTTTACACCTATATATTAATTTTATTTTACAAATTATTATTTTTCTTAAGAGATCACAGAATTATTATCTTAATAATTTATGTAATTCTAGCATAAAGATTTAATTTTTATATAATTTTGCTGTCTATAAAACATATTAAAAATGTATTGTTTAAAGTATCTTATTAATTTAATATTTATTTCCTAAATACAGTAGAGTCTCTCTAATTTTGGCCTACGAGGCGACATAAGAACGGAATGCCAAAATTATAGAATACCCTCACCATACACGAATCTACCAATGACACAATCTCATAATGTTATTACATTACTCTGCCCTCTATGACATGGAAGGGGCATGACATTGTGTTGAAATTAAGTGTGTGTGGAAAAATGCAAAGATTAACGAAGCCAAAGTTAGAGAAATTCTTTTGTATTTATTCTTCAATAATTATTAATTTTTTAAAATTATTAATAATTTTAATAAACATTTTTAATCTATATATGTATAAAAATTGAAAAAGCTTCATTTGCTTATAAAACGATTATTTTCATCCTTAAAGCATAGATCATTGCGACAACGTTGCAATATGGTATTTAATGATCTGTGTTATATGGATTTGTGTTGTAATCGATTTGTAGGCAAACAGAATTTTTCTTTAATAGTTCTACTTATTATTTATTTTAGAATTCCTCAATAACATCATATGACGATAAAAACACTACATGTCACTGGATATGTAAGAATACAAATTTTTCTGGACTATCTTTCCACACAGTTGGAAGGGAAGCAATTATTTCATCAAATAATACATATTTATTAAATATTAACGAAATGCCATTATGTCAAGAAGAAACAGCAGAAAATTATAATTGCAATGTTACTTGCAATAGTTTCGAGAATAATCATTATCTGTATACATCTATTATTTTCTGGGGATTCGTCTTTTTAATGTCTATTGGCAATATTGGTTTTAATATTTGTATGTGTATTACTGACGCAATTTGTTTTGAAGTACTAGGTAAAATAATAAAATAATATTATAATTATTATATATTTTTTGAAAAAAGTCGATATAAATATAAATCTATATAAAAAACTAACTATTTAAATTGAATTTTTGCAATTACTATTTTTATATATTAGATATAAATAACATTCTATAAAAAGAAGAATCATGTATCTTTGTATATGTTTGTGTGTACGTTTTAAAATAAATCTTACCTATTTAGGTAAAAGTGAAAAAATGAAATATGGTAGACAGCGTGTATGGGGTGGAATTGGTTTTGGTTTAGCAGGATTTTTAACTGGATATACAGTGGATAAGTGGTCTCAAGGGAAAATCTACAAAAATTACACACCAGCGTTTATTCTTGTGATTGTATTTACTTGTATTGATTTAATTTGCTGCAAAAAACTGAAGGTGATTGTATAATACATTAGGAAGAATTAGTGATTAAAAATGTTAGTAACATATAGTTTTGTTATTATAAGTTTTTATTATTTAACTTATGTTACATTTTCAAGGTTGATAATACATAATGTGTTTATTATATCTTACTTAATTTATTTTACATTTTCATTACAGCTACCACCTATATCATCGTCGACAAATATATTTACAGATGTATGTGCGCTTTTAAAATCTAAATCTGTTGTTATATTTCTGGGTTTTGCTGTTATTGTCGGCTCCCTGGATGCCTACTCAATTTTCTTTTTACTGTGGTAGATGTATATTATTATTAAGATTTCTTTATTATTTTGTTTTTTAAATTTAAACATAAAAATCAAAACGTAAAGATTTAGATAAATTTAGTGTGTGTGTGTGTGTGTGTGTCCGTGCGTGCGTGCGTGCGTGCGTGCGTGCGTGCGTGCGTGCGTGCGTGCGTGCGTGCGTGCGCGCGTATGTGTGTGTGTGTTTGTGTGTAATACTTTGTTTCACTAATTCAAATTAATTTGTTTCTCTAGGTTTGAAGAAGATCTTGCTATGAAGACTGGTTACATGGGTGAAATTAAATTAATAGAAGGCTTTACATTAGCCGCGCAAGCTTTTGGTAGTCTAATAATATTCATACCTTTGTCTGGTAATGTCAAATTTATTTTATTATAATTTGTTATATAAATGAAAAAATTGGATAATTTTAAACATTGAATTTTTCTTTTTTTAGGCAAAATATTGAATAAATTAGGATATGGTTACACTTTTACTTTGTCTCTCGTATTTTACGCACTTCGGTTAGGTTTAATATCTGTAGTACCAATACCATGGTGGATAGTTTTTATAGAATTTTTAATGATGGGACCAACATTTGGTCTTTCCTACACAGTAACAGTGACGTACGCAAATGCAATATCACCATCCGGTATATCTGTTTCTGTTCAAGGAATTATGTCAGCATTGAGAGAGGGTTTCGGTAAATTTCTTTATTGTGTTTTATTTAAAATTGAAATTATACATAAAGAAATTACACAAGTAATATAAATATCCTTTTTTTCTTAATTGACGTTTTTTATTGTTAAAATGTTACAATATGTAAATATATACATAAGCGAAAAAATATACTTGGCGGGAATCTCTACCGCGTCTTCTAATATGTATATATGTACTTTTTTTCAGGTTTCGCCATTGGTAATTTGATGGGTGGTATCTTGTTAAAAAAATTTGGTGGTGCGTTGACTCTACAAATATTTTCAATATTTGCAGCATTCAGTGCGCTAATGTTTCTTTTACTTTATATTACGTACTTAAAGCATAAAATACCAGGCAAGAAATTGAATAGTTTAATTCAATAAAATGTGAACTAACTTTTCCAAAATATTGTTAAAAAATTATTTTTTTGAAATATAGATACACGGAATAATATTGAATGGAGAACGCCTGAAGACGCACGAGAACATTGTGTTGCAGCAGAATGATTAAATGCGTTTTTTTCATAATATTATGAATAATTTTGTTTAATTACTTAAATAAATGTTATCTAAAATAATGTATCAATGAATATTGTTACGCTCGGGGGCGGTAAAACTCGCGTTTGCGCATTCGTACGTGTGTTTCCCGCGTTTCCGCACTCGCGTACGCGCACGCGTACCGGATCGCCGCAGAGAAATAAATGGAGCACCAACTAGAAATGACGAACTCTTTAATGTAAAAGAATGTAGCGAAATACAGAAAGGAGTGAGAACGGGTCGACGGCTCGTCTCCAAATCTAATATGTCGTCTGTTTGACAGACGACAACGCGTCGTCAGGCAAATATCCGACAGCTGGATCAACTCGCTGGTGCATCGAACGACGCGGGCGTAGACACGGGCGTAATAACACTATATACAACTTTATTTAATTTATGCTAATATGAAGTAGCGTTACATAAGGAATATATATTGTTATACATATGTTGATATTTGTGTCAAAATATTTAATTTTTATTTACAAACTTTTTTAATTTCTTGCGAGTAACAACATTATTTGTTATATAAAGCAAAAATACAAATGATATTTTGTTATATAGTAAAGACATGCACATGTATTACATTGTATTTATATCACGCTTAATAATTAATGTACCTATTCGATGTATGTATACATTAAACATATAATACTTATTTTATTTATTAATAATTTTTAATGTAAATAATGCGTAACAACTAATATTTCTGAATTATTACTCAGTTTAGTCATGTTACTTCATAACATATGACAAAGAGCTGTATCTGATACAAAAAATTGTATTAGTAATATTTAATTTTTTATTTAAAATTTATAAGCAGATCTGTAAAAAAAAACGGCTCTGAATGAACGGCTACGTCGTTGAATTTTTATTTTTTAAGTTGTTATTTCCATACATTCTAACGATGAATAAATAATGAAGTGATATAAACAGAGATAAGAAAGAACAAATTACCACTTTGTTGGCCTTAAGAAATATTTTACGGATGTCTCATGCATGATAATAATAATATATCTATGTGACACAATTTTATTATAAATAGTGTAACTTAAAAAATTATATAAAATTCATAATTCTTGCATTATTATTAAATTTTATCAGGAATTACGTACTACACACAGTAACATACGTATGTATAATGGACATTCCAATTCCATCAGATAGCTTTTAGTAACAAATTCTTTAAATGTAATGAGTTGAATTTTTATTATAAGAATCTATAATTTATTGTATTAAAACCTTTTTTTACAATAATTTAACATTGTCATGAAGGTTATATAATGTAAACGATCCGATAAAGTTGCAAATTTATAAAACTTTGCGATAAACTTTTTCTTATATATAATTTTTGTTCCATGTATACCGCAGTTAACTTTTACCACATTTGTGTGTGTCGCAAATCAATTGACATAGTTTCAATACGTCGCATCAGAGCATAGATACATTCAGTGAAAAAGTTTACATCTGGTAAAAAAATGAAAATATTTATAATGCTTTTGATTCTACAAGTTTTACTTATTTGTTACTTATCGTACATCTCTTCACAATATTTAAAAATATCAAATATTTGTAACATAGATGTTATTATATAAAATATGTTTGTAGAAAAATTTAAATATCTGTGCATGTTATTATTTTTATACACTTTTAATCTTAAACGTAATATTATTCCTTTGTGACATAATACTAATTTAACAAGTTTTTAGAAAGAAGCGCTACAATTGGAGCATATTGTTTGCTATATCGAATATAAATTATGAAAATTAATTACACGCTACTGTCTTTAAAGGCACATTATTTCTTTTTTATGGGAGGTAATTAAATGATTATATCATATTTTATTATATAAAATGATTTGTCGAATTTTAAAATTTATATGTGTTTCTTTAAGTAATATGTTATAGATTTACAAAACATATAACACAATTTCATAAGAAATTATTTAAAACATTATTATATTGCATTTTATAATTCATAAAAATTTTAAAACATTTTAAATTATTTACAATATGAAACACATGTAGATTACATTTTAGAAATACACATCTTCATAATTTTTGAAATATTAAAAATAAATTATTTTTAATCTGAAAAATTATACTGTTACATATTATATAAGTGTAATAATAATCCAATTATTCTTATTTTAGGTATGGGATCTATTTTTCCATTTATACCTGTTTATGGTAAACAACTTGGTATTTCTCCAATAATAATGGGTAGTATCACTACCGTTTTACCTATTCTATATATGATTACTCAACCAATATTCGGCCTCATTATGGATTATTTTCAAACTAAAAAAAGATTGATCTTTATGGCTGTACTCGTCGTTGCAAATAGTTCTTATATTCTATTGTATTTTCTACCCTCTTTGCCGGGACCAATATTACCAGATCATCAGTTCCAAAACGTTTCCTGTGCATTTTTACCATTTTGTGATATAAATTCTGTAAGTCTTATGTTTTATAACGCGTATTTTTTTTTTATAAAATGTTAACAATAATATTTTTGTAATCTTATTTACATATTTGTATTACAAACTATTTACATCTTTCATAGAATCGTGAACTTGATAACATATATGTATTTAAAAAAAAATTCGATTTTTTTTACTAGCTTTATCATTAATTCTTTAATAATATATAATTATTAATAATTTGTAATAATTTTAAACGTTTTTCTTTGTATTAAAAATTCTTATGTATTATTTAAGAATTCCTCAGTAGTATTATGTGACGGTACGAAAAACACTACATGTCACTGGAAATGCAAAGATACAAATTTTTCCTTGCAATTATCTTTTCATGCAGCTGAAGAAGAAGCAGTTATTTCATCAAACACTAGCTGTTTATTAAATTTTGACGAAATATCGTTATGTCAAGAAAAGACAACAGAAAATTATAATTGCAATGTTACTTGTGATAATTTTGACAATAATTATTGTTTATATACATCCATTACTTTTTGGGGATTCGTCCTCTTAATATCGCTTGGCAATATTGGTATTATTCTTTTATTTAATATAAATAGCGCAATTTGTTTTGAGATATTAGGTAAATAATTTTATTATTACTTATTTTTTAAATTATGTATTGATATAAATTTACAAGTATTTATCTAAATTAAATTTTTGCAATAAATATTTTTACATATTTTTTTATTCATAATTAATATTACATAGAAAGGTGTGCGTGTATGAATTTCACAATAAATCTGTTTATTTGTTTAGGTAAAGGTGAAGAAATGAAATATGGTAGACAGCGTCTATGGGGTGAAATCAGTTACGGTTCAGCCGGATTTTTAATTGGCTATACAGTGGATGTATGGTCTCAAGGGAAACGTACAAAACTTATACACCAGCGTTTCTTTTTGTGTTTGTATTTACTTGTATCGATTTGATCTGCTGCAGCAAATTGAAGGTGATTATAAACA